GCACCACAGAACACAGGCCTTGTGGGGGGTGGAGTTTGACGTTTTGATCTACACACAATTTCCCAATTCGACCCAGTTCCTGTTGCACCGCATTAGTTGTTTCTTGCTGGTCCTTACCCTGCCTGCGTACAAGGACATAATCCGCAAAGTTCAGCACACGCCCAGGTAGCCTACTAAGTGGCTGTCCAACCTATCTCCCAGTATCTCTCTGTTCCGTAGACTCCAGTTGAGGATTCCTGTAAGGTCCCTGATGCTGTCTGCCTCAAGGTCTTTCATGTGAGAGAACCGTACACCATCTGGACCTGGGATGGTATTGAGAACACTTGTTCTCTTCTCTCAACGTCATCGTGACTGAGGGTATAGTTGAAGAGTTCATTAGCTCACCGCTGGCGTATTGCGCAGGGGAGCCTTTTTTGTTCCTCTTCGTTGCTCTGGTCTGTCTGCTGAATACATCGGGCAAACAGCGCCTCACCTTTCTCCTGGTCTGACCGCACCCACACGTCGTCCTCCCTTTGGAAGTCTGGTACACCTTTGGCCGGCTTCTTTTTCATCATTGTTTTGTACAGCTGCCTGAATCAGTAGAGTGCCTTGTCATCTGTCACCTCTTGTAAAAAAATCATGAATGGCTTCCTTAGCCTCTTTCTCCACGACCTTGAATAGCCCTGAAGCTTCCTCCTCTGCTCTTTTCAGGTCTATACTAGGGTCTCTCGGTCACATTGGTTTGCTTAAAACGCCTTCCTTTTTGCTCTCCATAACTTTTCCACTTACCTGTGTGGAGGAAGCCACATGCAGACATTCCTGTGCTGCCTAGTGATAGGCATAATATTGTAGCCTATACGTTCTCTGACCGTCTAGATTGTAACGCTTCAACACTCCCAAAGCAAGCGGGATGTTTTCCCAGATCATGCAACCCTGGGAACCCTTTCACATCCTGCTCCAACCCATCATCCCTCCTACCCCTCAACATTTCCTCAGCATTTCATATAATATAACATCAAAAACAAAAAATTAAAAGTTAATTTTATGGGTTTTGTTCTTTTGCATACGCCATGTCAAATCCCAGGAGCTTAACTCCAAGAGATTATGTTTTGCAACATAAGTATTATGCACTTGCTGATAGAAGACAATCTGCGCAATAATAGGCAAGCATCTGGTCATCATTTTACTTACTGGTCTTATTTCTGCATGTAGATGGCTTATTTTTATCTTTAAAGGTAGGTAGATGCAAGAAGTTTTTCTTCGTCTAATCCACCAAGTTCAAGTGGCTGGAAGAATTTTCTTTTTAAAAAGATTTTGAGAGTGCGAAGGAGAGGGCAGTGTTTTGTAAACGCACAGCTTCCCGCGAGATCCTCTCACTGTCGCTTACATTGTGGGGTTGATGATAGTGTCAGCGGTAGAGAGGGAGACACGACGTGACTAAACCATTTACTTCAAACAAAAAAAGCAACCAATGAATTCTTAAGTCTAATAAACAGAGGTTTATGAAATGCAGGAATGCGCTTTTACTTTTACTCTTAGACCTGCTCCATAACTCATTTCTCGGGCTTGACAGTGAAGTGGCTAATACCAATGATAGTAAATAACAAGATGGGCCACTCAGCCAAAAAAGTGTCCGCAGGAAGTATGCTCTTTGCTTCAGATGGCGCTGCAGTCTGTTTTGAAGCTCTCTTTCGTTTTTCCAGAAGAAGAATAGGAATAGCACCTCCTTGCGTGCGCAGATCGACTGCTGTTCATCAGCAGTTCGGGTACGTTCAGTGTGGAGTTCTAGGTTGTTTTTGTTTTTTTAATGACCTCTCGCCTTTCATTCTAAAGCCAAATTAAACGAAGAAAACCATCACCCTTTCCTCCGGAAGAGTTTTTTTGTCAGGGTAACCATTTTGAAAAAGCGTTCTTCCGAAATTTATCCCAAAACTTGCTAGTTTCACTTTGAATTTTTATAACTCAAGTAGAGTAACTCTGTTCGCAAAGAGTGCGCTTTTGTGAAGAGGGCGCCACCAAATTTTGAGGACACTTTTTTAATTGGCTCAAAGAGAGAAGTGGCCTATCTTGTTATGTACTATCTTTGCTAATACCTTGGTGCCGGCAAAAAGCCTTGTGAAGCCCATTTCCATGAGCGTACACAGTCACAGACGTCACAGATCCCATGTGCAGAACCCGTAAGTAAAAAAAATAATAAATCCCGCACCATCGAGCACCACGCGACGGACGCACGTCACGTCCATCTACATGTATGTGGTAAGCGCATGAGCACAATAAAAACATGTCACTAGAAAGGACCGGGTGAATACTAGATCTAGATCTAGATCTAGATCTAAATTACAGTCTTCGTTACAAATAAAAATCAAAAATCAACATCATCAGTTATAATTCATCTCCGTGGCTCAAGTCACGGGTATAATATGACTGAAACCCTGAAAACATTTTTTAAAACATATATAGATCTAGATATAGATCTAGATCCAGATGTATACAGCACGGCCAACAAATCGGCACATAAGCAAACTTGTCATTAACATAGTAGACATAGATATAGATCTAGATATAGATCTACATGGTACCAAAGATAGTACAAGACAAGATGGGCCACTTCTCTCTTTGAGCCAATTAAAAAAGTGTCCTCAAAATTTGGTGGCGCCCTCTTCACAAAAGCGCACTCTTTGCGAACAGAGTTACCCTACTTGAGTTTTAAAAAATCAAAGTGAAACTAGCAAGTTTTGGGATAAATTTCGGAAGAACGCTTTTTAAAAATGGTTACGCTGACAAAAAACCTCTTCCGGAGGAAAAGGAGATGGTTTTCTTCGTTTAATTTGACTTTAGAATGAAGGGCGAGAGGACATTAAAATTTTTAAAAACCTCAAACTCCGCACTGAACGTACCCGAACTGCTGATGAACTGCAGTCGATCTGCGCACGCAAGGAGGTGCTATTCCTATTCTTCTTCTGGAAAAACGAAAGAGAGCTTCAAAACAGACTGTAGCGCCATCTGAAGCAAAGAGCATACTTCCTGCGGACACTTTTTAGGCTGAGTGGCCCATCTTGTCTTGTACTATCTTTGATGGTACCAAGACATCCGGTGTTCTAGATACACCTCTAGATCGGACAAAAATCGAAGACAGTACTTATGGAGACTGGAGCAGCCCGTCAAACTGCACAATTTCAAACCTGCAATACTTTCCAACAAGAGAGAACCAGGAGAGGCGGCAATTGAGAATGATGCCGGGAAAAGACAAAGGAAAAGGACAGAGCACACGAAGTGCGTCGCAACCGTCCGCCATCTTGAATGGAGCACCACTAAATTAAACACGTAGGTAGATCTAAAGGTAGATATCTAGAAGATCTACTGTCTCTAGCAGCGAAGTTCTCATAAAATGATTGATAACTTCATCATCACTGTCTTTCTCACCCGGGATCCGCATCGTCCTTTCTCGAGCACTTGTTCTATTTTACTTCTGGTAATACCGCAGTGTTGCGGTCCCGGTCCTTTGTTTACAGTGCGGCCATCTTGGATACAATGTAATAATCTCGCTTCCGGAACCGGGTGACGATAATGGCCAGGTTTGAGTGGTACTAATGAGGCGATGCTCTCATCCCACTTGGATGAATATATGTGGCGGGGGAGTACGGAAAGACACCAAAGGAAGCATTCAACAACATTGTTGATCAACTAGCCTAGATCTAGGCCTAGGCAAAACTTTCACCGTGTTTTCTTTTTTTCTTCTTCTCTTCTTTTCTGGCACAATCAATGTACTCCCAGAGGTCCGCGCAAAACACATAAAGTCGCGTCATTTTCTTCATTCGTCGTTACATATTTCAATATTGAAAACTATAAATCGACTTATCGCTTGCTACTGACCTATTATTGCGCACAAGTTTTCCTCAAGACAAGTTCAAGGCATTATCTGGAGCAGGGTATACCCGCCCATAATGCGTCTTCGAAGAAAACTAAAGAAACTCGTGGCTCTTTTCTGCTGCTGCTTCGGCGGCAAAGCAGAACGGGACACGAGGGTATGTCCTTTGTTCGTCGAGGAGAACCCACGTCTGGAGAGCTCTATGTCGTCTCACGAGTCCAATGTCGACTGTCCTTTCGAGGACAGGAGCGAACTGGATTCTGCATCCGATCTGGATGTAGATATCACGCCGTTCATGACCTCGGACTTATTGAGACCACATATCTCTCCAGGGGAGTCCACGAAGGAGGACGGGGATTCCTCTACAGGGAGCGCTGGCACCGGTCTCAAAGAATAGAGGCTATCGACGGCGAGGAACCTGGAGGACCCCTCTTTTTTACTTTTTTTTTTACAACAGCCCTTTTCAGGGCTATCATTCATTCCACTTGTGGAAAGAGTGCACTACATTTTGTCTTTTATTATTAATACTTTTTTTTTTTGCAGGTACAGACATCGTAATTTTCCTCTTCTTGTTTTCTACTTCCTTTTCTACTTTTTCTTCTTTTTCTACTTCTTCCTCTTCTTTTCCCACTTCCTCTTCCTCTTCTTCTTTTTCTACTTCCTCTTCTCCTCTTTCTACTTCCTCTTCCTCTTTTTTTCTACTTCCTCTTCCTTTCCTTTTTTCTACTTCCTTTCCTTTTTTTTAACATCCTCTTCTTTTTCTACTTCCTCTTCTTTTTTCTACTTCCTCTTCTTTTTCTACTTCCTCTTCTTCTTTTTCTACTTCTTTTTCTACTTGCTCTTTTTTTTCTACTCCTTCTTTTCTTACTTGCTCTTCTTCTTTCTTACTTCTTTTTTTTCTACTTCCTTTTCTTTTTGTACTTCTTTTTTTAGACTTTCTCTTCTGCTTTCTACTTCCTCTTCCTCTTATTTTTTCTGTGTCTTCTTCCTCTTTTTCTACTTCCCTCTTTTTCTTTTTCTACTTCCCCTTCCTCTACCTCATATTTTTCTTCCTCTCCTGATCTTCTTCTTTTTCTTCTTCTTCTTCTTCTTCTTCTTCTTCTTCTTCTTCTTCTTCTTCTTCTTCTACTTCTTCTTCCGTCTGTGTTGGGGCCCAGGGCTCAGTCCGATCGCCCGACTCGTAGCCTTGAAAACAAACGCGTTTTGTTTTTTAAGGTCACCGTCGGCTTCGTTCGGTTTGTGCCACGATGGTCGCTTTTCGCCCTCAATCAAGTTAGCCCCGACCGAATTGAACCGCACCGATAGTGCCAATGGACACTGGAATTTATAGTTAGAATACCTATACCCCAATGGGCAATGGGTCTCATCGCCGTTGCACGGGGAAGGCGTGGGTTCGATTCCTGTAGTGAGCGAAAGTTTTTACTTTTAGTCAGATATCCCTTTCTTTCTCCTGTGATCGTGTGCTACCTCTCTTGGCACAGCAGAACCTAACAAAATAGTTTGAATTGTGTTGAAACTGGTATAAGAAATTCACAAATCCAATTACAGATCTTGTGAAATTAAGAGAATACATCGTAAAAAGGAAAAATAACCCGTTTTCTCCTCGTTAAATGCATGATTGTATTTTGTAACAGCTGTCAACTGACAGTAGTACGGAACCACCTCCGTAAACGCCAAAGGGAAATTACTGCAAAGTAAAAATGGCGAACAACAAGAAGATTGTTTGTAAAATTTTGGAGTTTATACTCCACAAATACCCTCTTGTAAATGCTTTAACGCTGCTTTTGCTCTTTGCAGAAAGGGCTGCCACTAATACGTACGTATTTTAATTTACATGTCTTCTTCTGCCTGCTTATCAGTAGACTTTTCCAGCTTTATTTTGCGTTTCTATGACCATTTGAATAAGGCCACCTCTATTCTCACCCGGGATGAGAATAGTGCAGGCTAGTCTTTTGGCTATTCTCACCCGGTGCGCGTTCACTGTTATAGCCTAGATCTAGGCCAACAAATTTTGCGTTCACCCTAAACCACAGAATTCTACACTGTGATAACAGAAAAATTGTAGAATTCGGTGCCGTGAACAAACGTTCCATTACAACTGTAGCCTACTAAAAGCGTACAATTTTGTATGTGGGCAGTGGAGAGAGAGAGAGAGAAAGAGACAGAGAGAGGAGTAGCGTGAGAACTTCCGGTCAAAACAAAATGGCGACCCGCGTAGTTCTGCTCAATTCGAAAAGTTAAATAGCCGTAGCATCTTTGTAGACAACCAAATTAATTTACTTTTGTCACTTTTGTGTTTTAACATCATTTTTTAACTTTGTTTTGGTCAATTTGATCGTCCACACCGATAGACAGTATTCAGAAAGAGACAGAGAGAGAGAGAGAGGGGAGGAGTAGATCTTGCGAGAACTTCCGGGCAAAACAAAATGGCGACCCGCGTAGTTCGGCTCGATTCGAACAGTGAAATAGCCATAGCATCTTTGAAGAAGATCAAATTAGCTTACTTTTGTGCTATAACGTAATTTTTTCTTGGCTTTTATCAATTTGATCACCCGCACCGATAGACAGTATATTCCAAAATGAGGAAAAGCAGGTCTTGTTTCGCACCTGGTGAGAATAGCCTACGCTGGCAAGTCTCACCCGGGGTGAGAGGTAGATCGTTTTTCTATTCTCACCCCGGATGAGAATAGCCACTTCCTTTGAATAACTAACTGACAAAGTGACTGATTTCTTTACATTGAATTATAATTGTGTTCGCGCATATTTCCAACACGAAAACTAAGAATGAATGTGTTAGCTGGCATTATTTTTATTCCATTGAAGAAGTTTACCTCTACCCATGTATTTACACGGTTTTGTGGGGGTTTTTAATCGCTTTAAATCTTTGGCCACCTCTATTCTCGCCCCGGGTGAGAATAGCGCAGGCGAGTCTTTTGGCTATTCTCACCCGGTGGGCGTTCACCGTTATAGTATAGCCTAGGCCAACCAGTTAAGCGTTCACCCTGAACCACAGAATTCTACACTCTCTCTCTTTAGCTATCTCTATCTTATAAAACGTTCTATTACTACTCACTGTTAGTGTTAGTATTAGCCTAAAGGCCACCTCTATTCTCACCCGGAGTGAGAATAGTGCAGGCGAGTCTTGTGGCTATTCTCACCCGGTGCGCGTTCACCAAATTTTGCGTTCACCCTAAACCACAGAATTTTACACTGTGATAACAGAAAAATTGTAGAATTCTGTGCCGTGAACAAACGTTCCATTACAACTGTAGCCTACTAAAAGCGTACAATTTTGTCTGTGGGCAGTGGAGAGAGAGAAAGAAAGAGAGAGAGGAGTAGCGCGAGAATTTCCGGGCAAAACAAAATGGCGACCCGCGTAGTTCGGCTCGATTCGAAAAGTTAAATAGCCGTAGCATCTTTGTAGACAACCAAATTAATTTACTTTTGTGTTTTAACATCATTTTTTAACTTTGTTTTGGTCAATTTGATCGTCCACACCGATAGACAGTATTCAGAAAGAGACAGAGAGAGAGAGAGAAGAGGGGAGGAGTTGATCTTGTGAGAACTTCCGGGCGGGTGAGAATAGCCACTTTCTAGCCTAAAAGCGTGCAATTTTGTCTCTGGGCAGTGGAGAGAGAGAAAGAGAGAGAGAGAGGAGTAGGCCTAGCGCAAGAACTTCCGGGCAAAACAAAATGGCAACCCACGTAGTTCGGCTCGATTGGGAAAGTTAAACAGCCGTAGCATCTTAGTAGACGACCAAATTAATTTACTTTTGTGTTTTAACATCATTTTTGAACTTTGTTTTGGTCAATTTGATCGTCCGCACCGATAGACAGTATTCAGAAAGAGACACACAGAGAGAGAGAGGGGAGGAGTAGATCTTGCGAGAACTTCCGGGCAAAACAAAATGGCGACCCGCGTAGTTCGGCTCGATTCGAAAAGTGAAATAGCCATAGCATCTTTGAAGACGATCAAATTAGCTTACTTTTGTGCTATAACGTAATTTTTTCTTGGCTTTTATCAATTTGATCATCCACACCGATAGAAAGTATTCCGAAATGAGGAAAAACAGGTCTTGTTTCACACCGGGTGAGAATAGCCTACGCTGGCAAGTCTCACCCGGGGTGAGAGAGAGGTAGATCGTATTTCTATTCTCACCCCGGGTGAGAATAGCCACTTCCTTAATTATCTTTTTAGTTGTATGCGGGCTGCCACAGACACAGCATGATTTGAACAACCACAGAGTAACTTTCTCTTGTTTATAGAATCTAGTAAAATAAGAGCTAACGCTGATCGTCTTTAGTTAAAAAATGCAGATGTTCATCTTTCTTCTCTTATAACTTGACTATTACTACTCGCGCAGATTTAAGATTTCTCATGGTATAAAAGACATGATCGTAGTCAGTTTAACACAGATTTTGGAGAGATCTGTCGAGCCTTTTTTAAATTAACAATCATTTATTCATAAGTTTGTAACAAAAATAGGACAAATTAGGTACTCTACAAACACTTGTCTAGAACAAAAACTAAGGCACAGAAATTAACCATTCTAACGCAGAATAAATCTCAAGACATTGAGCTTTTAGTACATCCGCGTAATGGTTTGCTGTGTGGGATGGGGGAAAAGTTATATAGTTTTAAACATAGCCAAAAATGTGAACTTCCTAACCGACACCGGCAAAGTTGCTTCAGGGCTCATTAACCCTGTGACCCCGAGCCGGGGAGCTCCGGCGGGCTGCTGAGTCATGCTAACTAAAAGTAACAGAATCGGGCTAAAAGTGACGCAGTGAATCGCATGTTTTCTCGATCCTTCGTCAGGTTCCGTTTTAATGAAGGGGTCCCTGATATTCGATGCCAGACCTTTTTTTGTGATTATACCTCACTTGGTTCCACTTCGACCGGGTAAGTTCAAATTCGAGCGGCAGTTGGGCCAACTTCGACCACCTTCGTGCAACTTCGACAAAGAGTCCATCTAGGCTAGCCTACACCGTTTTGTAGCCTAGACTTTGGGTGGTACCCTTGTGTTTTGGTCACAATTTGCCACTCACACGCAAGGACTTCACCCGGACTAAACACGACGTGCAAATGAGCCCAAAGCCAAGCCTAATGGGTGAAACACGCTGGCGCGGATACACTCCCAGAAAGACCCCACTCATTGACCGTTCACAAGAAAATGCTTAGCCTAGCCTACAGGGAAGCTGCTAAGGCTCAACACACAGAAGATATAATATATATTAACAGGCTACACTTAATATCAAAAGCATACACTTTGCAAAACACTATGATGTACATTTCTTGAAACTGTGGCTGGTGACAGCTCTGCTCGAAGGTTTCTTTGGTGTTGCCACTTGAGGGGGGTTGGGGGAGTAAACAGCTTTCCCAAAGCTGGATCAACAGCAACACCATCATCATCATCAGACTCAGAAATGCCTACCTCGAGCATTGCTTAAAAATTTCAGATTAAAAACATTCTGAACTTTGCTTCCCCCGTGTTTCCCTAGCTGTAAAATGAATGCACTGTCTTATCTGAAATTTTCAGACAGATTCGTTAAGTATTAATCAAGATATTGCCTTTAATATGAGGTGTGAAGTTAAAAAATGATGTCTCATGGGGGCGGGTCGTCAAAGGTAGGCAGCTCCATGGGGATGACACAGTCTTCTGGAGGAACAACCTGTATCATATGTCAGAGGTGGTTTCTCCAAAACCAGGCGGGAGCTCGGATCGTGACAGCATCCTCACTGTCAGGAATCACTGCATCAAAAGCCCTCTCTCACTCGTCGCGAGACATTGTCGATGAGGGTCTGTGATGATCTGGGTGTTGAGTCATTACTGTCGCTGCCCAAATCAGCGTCTCCTTCTGTGGCCTCCTCAAACTGCTCAAAGTCGAAGTATGAAGCAAAGGGGACTTCCATGACTTGATCCTTGTCGGCGATCACATCTTGAGTTTCAACTTCCTCGCCAGCCTTCCTGCCTTCACAAGGACCATCCTCTTTGTGAACGAAAACCCTCTCGAGCTTGCATCCAAAATTTTCTTAACCCGTCTTTTCCTCAGTCTCCCTCGGGATGCTCAGGGCATGCCCTGGGGGTTTTGTCACACTTGACCAACCAGCTACGTACGTGGTCGTTCAATGTAGCCTTCAGGACTTCAAACTCCTTGGAGGCTTTTGATAGCTGAGGCCATTTTTGATGGCTTCAACAGCTTTCGTCAGATGTTCCTGTGTGTACTTCCTGTACGGCATTCTAGAGTCAGACAAGGATCTGTTGTTAAGTTTGATTTATTGCCTATTGCCATTTATTACAAGTAAAGAAGACAAGAAAAGATCAAGGTTTTTTGTCCAGTCACTGGCACTTTTTTTGGTGTTAATATATTATGTACCATCTAATTCAACACTCGTTTCTAACAACACACACACACGCACGCACACACATACACAAGCACATACATTCATACACACATGCGCGCGCACGCATGCACGCAGAGAGACAGAAATGGAGAGAGAGAGAGAGATAGAAACACACTCATACACACACATGTACACAAACACGCACACACACACAAACATTACAACACTCTCTAGAACATCGGTCGAAGTTGTGCCAAGCCCCGCTCGAAGTTGCGCCAATCCCCGGTCGAAGTTGAGCTCACCAGTAATAAAAAAAGGGTGCCGAAGAAAAAAACCCTTTCAGTCAATAAATAATGCATAAAATAAGCCAAATGGTGTTTAAAATGAATAACATATAAACTCTTCAATAGTTCCTGTTTTTGGTCTTCTTGTGCTGTCAGCAAAGACGAGAACTGAAAGTTTTGATGCAGGCAAAATGCGTCAAACTGTTGTTTCGAACAAGAAACGTTCGCGGTGGGAACGGAGCCGGTTGAGGAATCGCGGTTCGTGACAAAAAGGGTCACTTCAGATAACGAATGCGGTTAAAAATAGCTTCTGAATGAAATCAACTCGACAAATCATTTCATACTACACGGAGTACGGCGAATGCAGACGAATAATCGGTTAACAAAGAAGGCGAGTAGAGTGATCGGAATTTGGCCCGAGGTCGAAGTTGCCCCAAACCACCCTACATCTAGATCTATACATTTGATGCGCAGCGAGCTAAGATATTAAACCTAACAACTGCAAAACATCAAATTATGGTAAAATCCACCACCATATTTTCTTAGCCCCCCTGAAACCCCCCTACTCTTGGGGCCAAAACCAGCGAATAACAATTGCGGGGTGGGAACTACGGAAAAAACGTCCAAGATTTAGGGTTCGATGTAGATCTAGAAATTTAGAGTACGTTAGGGTTAGGGGTTAAGGTTAGGGTATACCTTGCTCAAAAGGAAGTGGTTATCCTCACTCCGGGTGAGAATAACCTTTGTCTTGCTATTCTCACTGGCTTCGATTCTCACCCCCTCGTTTTGCTGGAAATTACCCCGAGGGCTGAGGTTACTGGGGCTGATGCTCCACAGGATTGTGTTTGTGTCCGAATAGTCACAGTCAGAGTTGTCAGTTTAGAGCCAAATCCCAGAAATTTTGCTCTTTTGAATCGTGCCTGGCCCTGAGAATTTCATTTGGCTCTCTGGCTCTTTTTTGGCCCCAAACTCTGAATGTTCAAGAAGACGGGCAAAGAAGAGGCAAGAAAAAGAAAAAAAGAAAGAATAAAAGAAAAAAAAAAATGAAAGTGAAGAAAAGAGCTTGGATTTTTTTGTAAAATTATTAAACTAGTTAACACGATTTAACGCCCTCGCCCGTTTGGTCTGAAGGTTCAAGAGAATTCTGTTGGCAGCATAATAGGCCTATAATAGCAATACAAACTATACTTGTAATTTTGAACAAACAAAACAGATAGAAACGGAATGCAAATTTGCAATCTGAAGGATAATGCAATCTCTGAAATTACACACCAGTGCAACGATCAAAGAACCAGCCTAAAATGAACAAAAGCAAAGAAACAGAATGTACTCCAACAATCTACAGTGCAACTATAAAGTAAGAGAGAACACAGACAATGGAATAAGGATTGAGACAAAGGGCAATGTGAGTGTAACGGTAAGGTGTGTAGTGTGTATTTTTAGCCTTGCCAGCACGGCTTATAAAACTCTTAATCTCTCATTTCATTAGTCCCTGCCTGCCATCCCCCTCTCCACACACACACACAGCACCTAGGCCTACCCACAAATTGTATAAACCTTTTGGATCTCCCCACAAGTAGGCTATGGTGGTTGGCTGATTTTTGTGTGGTTTTTTTTGCTTTGTTTTGTTTTTTGTCAAAACACACCTGGCTCTAATCACGCACGACACACTGCAATGCGATGGCATCACATCAAAACATTCATTACCTTGTGCTTGGAATGTCAAGGGGAGCTAAGTAAGTCTGGCAGCCTGAAATTTAAAAAAACAACCCAACTCAACGTTCGCCTCTGGTAGCCATATATATAGCCTTATGCTTCGACTGTTGGATCGTGCCAGGGGGGCTAAGTATGCCAACGTACAAAAAACCATTCGCTGGTCTTCGAAGCCGTGGTTGGTACCCATATCGCCGCCGCGCTTTGAAGCTGTGTTAGGTACCCATATCGCCTTGTGCTTCGAATGTCGAATCGTGCTAAGCTAAGGGAGCTCAGTAGGCTATGCAATGTACATAAAATCTCCGGCTGCGCTTCAAAGCGATGGTCTATTGAGTACATCACGAGTGCCTTTTAGAGGCATGTTATTTGCTCTTCTTATCACTCTGTCCCGTAATCATCAACTTGAAACATTTCCGCTTTCTGCCCCCACTCCGTCACCTCCTTTGCCCCTCCTCTGGGCTCCTGACTCTTTCTGCAGCCTTTCTACTGCTACTCCTTGGCTTCTCCTTACTGGTGTCTTTCTGTCACACCCCTGATCTTCTGGTAGGAAAGATCTACACCTAGCCTTCTCGGACAAGGGCGAAAAATCTCGGAGGGCCCGTGTGCAAGTTGCGCACGTTAAAGATCCCTTGGTGGTCTAAAAATCGATAAGAGTAGGCTTCGGCCGCCACCCGGGCAAAATTCAAAATTTTCCTACCAACTGAAAATATTAGGTGTGTCCCGCGCGCTCATATGACCTATGCAGTTGCGAGCGCCGTAAAACACTTTACAAAAACAAAAATCAACTTGAAAGTAACGTTGAATTTACCTTAGTGTATTTAGATATTTTATCATGCTTTAATTTTACTACAGGTTGACGAAATCAGAAGAAATCCATTGTGGGGAAAAATCACTCAGCATTCGATTAGCTCTGCCACGCTTCGAATAGCTGTGAATCGCGCAAAAATCATGAATTTCGAATAGTGAAATCGAATGGGCATTGCTCTACTATTTAAAGCTAAGGTTATGGCTATGGGCTATGGTCAATTTGTAGTTGTAGTGCACAGGTTTTATTATAATAGCAGTTTCTCTTATTTATTTCAACTTGCTTTAGGCCTACAACTTGCAATTGAAGCAGTTTTTCAGTAAACTGGCTTTCTTTATATTGACATCACATAATATGATGTTCACAACAAGATAGATCTACTGGTATTCTTTTCTTCACCAATCACCAGATCAAAACACCCCTGTGCTTCTACTTCTATTTTACAAATGACAAATCTAATATTTAAGCGGTGTTGGCAGGATCGGTTCGATTCAATTTGGTTTGTCGGGGCCAACCAGATTTTCTTCTGTGGAGGAGCAATTTAATTTTAATCGACCATCATGGCACAGTCCAAAGGAAACTGATGATGTCCTTAAAAACAAGCGCGTTTGTTTTCAAGGCCACAAGTCGGGTTATTGGTTTGAGGCAGGGGTCTAAAGAAATCAGACTGAGCTGAGCCAATGATAGTACATAACAAGATGGGCCACTTCTCTCTTTGAGCCAATTAAAAAAGTGTCCTCAAAATTTGGTGGCGCCCTCTTCACAAAAGCGCACTCTTTGCGAACAGAGTTACCCTACTTGAGTTTTAAAAAATCAAAGTGAAACTAGCAAGTTTTGGGATAAATTTCGGAAGAACGCTTTTTTAAAATGGTTACGCTGACAAAAAACCTCTTCCGGAGGAAAGGGTGATGGTTTTCTTCGTTTAATTTGACTTTAGAATGAAAGGCGAGAGGTCATTAAAATATTTAAAAAACTAAAACTCCGCACTGAACGTACCCGAACTGCTGATGAACAGCAGTCGATCTGCGCACGCAAGGAGGTGCTATTCCTATTCTTCTTCTGGAAAAACGAAAGAGAGCTTCAAAACAGACTGCAGCGCCATCTGAAGCAAAGAGCATACTTCCTGCAGACACTTTTTTGGCTGAGTGGCCCATCTTGTTATTTACTATCTTTGGCTGAGCCAAACCAATCCTCCCAATGGACACCACTTTTATAGTTCATGACGTGAAACAAATGTTTCAAAACCTACTTCCCATTAAAGTTTTATTATATATATATATATATATATATATATATATATATATATCTATACCTATAAAACTTGTTTTCAGAACTCTACTTTTCAGAAAGAATGCGTGCGTATCTGTCACTCCGTTTCTTTCATGAGATAGATGTTATGGTCCAGGAATGACAACAAGAAGAGTGATAGACTACTTTCCAGTAGGAGCAAAAGACTAGAGTTTATTACTTCTACCCTGCATCTCACTTACGGTACTTAAATTCTTACATTCACCCCCCCCCCCATTTCATAAATCTCTTCTCATCTCTGCCGCCATACACAGACTCACTGTTTTGACTCACATTGTATCGTTATCATTATGGTGTAGTTTAGTGTGTGTGTCTTTCGGCAAGAAACCTTACGTCGTGAGTTTTGTGTGGTGGCATAGAATTAGAAAAACGAGATAAATTCTTTTTGAGTGAAGAAATAGGCATTTTCTGAATAAGTGAATATATAATGTAGTTTTTTTTACTTAATAGTTAGTTATTGTAATTCTTGTAATAATACTGTATACTTTCTGATCAATTTCAGAGATACCCCAATTCATCCTCGAATTGTGTACGCAAATTTACTGGGATTCCTTGGCTGCGCCCTCTTCATGTCGTCACACATTAAGAGAAAGGAAGCTGCCCTTGTCTTCTGTGGTCAGCTTATCTATTTTGCGTATAATTTCTACAACAATAACAAGCTTCATTATAAAGAGTGGCTTCGGGTGAGTTGTGGTTAATTTAATTTTTAAAATCAATAATAGTTCTGGGCTTTCAATTTTTGTCCTCTGGGCAGAGCTTTCATGGGTTTATTTTTGTCTGTGTGCCTTGTTATTGTTTTATATTTCTTTTGTTTATAGAATATTTCTTAATGACAAGAAGTTCTTCACTTCCTGTTCAATAGTTTTGTGATATGATCAAATTTTGTTATTAATTAAACTTAAAAGAAAATAATTATTGCGTAATAGACTCATAATGATTATATGACTTTGGCTTAACAATTCATTATCCATTCAAGACACCTAGCAGCAAAGGGATATAACTCATCATAATCTATTATGTGAACAATCAAATACGTGGTTCGGTCCCTTCGTTTCCAGATTGCGTTGGATCATCGAATTGCGCACGGTTATTGAGAGTAATTGAAAACAGTAGTCCATGTTTTATGTACGGTACCAGTTTAAGTTTAGGTGTGTGAAAGAGAGGTAGAGATATCATGTGAATATGGTATAAATTTTTGCCTCTTTTTCTAAATTTTTCAGCAAGAGATGTGCTCTCGGCAGGTGGGCTGTATCGGGGTCTACCTTTTGTTTGCTCACATCATTGACCATAAGAAGTCCAATCTTCTGCGCAGGTTGGGGGAAATCCTGCTGGGGATCTTTATGTTCGCCTATGTGTACTTGCTCAACGATTCCAGAGAGGTGAGGACATTGCAAAAATGTGTGTGCGCCCAGAGAAAGGTACCAAAAGTCGCCCCTGACCGTTTCGAGCTACAGTCTAATAATAACAAAAATCACTTTTTTGACCAAAATGTGTTTCCATTTAAAAAAATAATAGATCCACCATTGTTTTACAATGTGCTCAAAGG